GTCACGTCCCAGGGCCGGTCCCCAGTTTGCCAAACCAGTTCCTGCCCGTGCCACCCTCATTCCTGGCACTGCCGGATCCCGGGAATGCTGCCCAGCCCCCTCCTGCCCTCCAGATGTTCCCAAATATCCCCAGCAGTTCCTCCAGGTCCCACCTGCCCTCGGTGGAGGGGGTGATTCAGGTGTCCTTTCATGCCTGGAGCGTTTTTTTTTGGGGGGGGAGGCTCAGCCTGGTTGTCCCATCCCTGGCACGGATTTCAGGCTGGGAAGGAGGAAGCAGCGGGGTGGCAGCTCCAGGGGAGGGGTGTGGGAGTTATTTCAGCAGGGAGGGGTCTCAGAGGGCAGCACTTCCTCCTTCCAGACAGGTGTGACGAGCTCTGCACACCTGGGCCAAGGTTCTGGGCTCGTGTTTGACCTGGAACTGGAGCCCAGCTCCCCAAACCAGCCCGACTGGGAACTCCTGACCCCAAAACACACGGGGTGAGCACTTCCCTGTCTCTGGCTCTGCCTTGTTGAGCATCTTTCCTGCAGCCAAGAATAATCCAACCCCTCAGATGGGTTTCTCTGTGTTCTCAGGATTTTCTCAACCAGCTTCAATGGCTCAGAGTTATTTTCTTATCAAGCTTTGGGTGGTGCTGGGATTTTTGGTTGATCTCATCTCCAAATTCACAAAGTTCCTGGACCCTGGTGCTGGGATTTTTGGTTGATCCCATCTCCAAATTCACACAGAGCTCCTGGACCCATCACCTGTGGCTGCTGGGGTAACTCTTGGGGTTTTAGGGGTCTCTCAGCCCCACTTTGCCCTAAAGGGGGACAGGGAAAGCTTCACCAATATCTGAGCTCCAAGTCCTTGGCCAAGCTGCCAACCCAAACATTGGAGAAGGCTTTGGAGGAGCTCCAGGAATCTGCTGTCCTGTGGGACCTCAGGTGGTTCCACCCCAAGGAAACCCTTAGAAAATTTATTTTTAGAGCTGGATTTCCCCACTGTGTTGAGCCCGGGCTGAGAGAGGTGAATCCAACAGCACAAAAATCAGGGTGGGAGCTCTGCAGTCACTGCAAGCAAGGCCCCAGCATGATAAAAACTCGTTCCTCTGGTTGAAAATATTAATTTATAGACATAAAAAAAAATCTCTTTCTGCCCCGGGAATGTGCAAGGGCAGGGAAAAGCTAAAGGAAGGTGTTTGCCCAAGGCCACTTGGAGCCTTTGGCTGGCCAGGGACGCCGTGGCTGCAGCTCTGCCCTCCCTTCATTCATGGTTTCACTCTGCAGCAGGTGCAGAACTGGGGGTGTTTTAATTCAGCGCAAGCACAACATTGATTGGAGTTTGGAAAACAGCCTGGAAGTGCCTCCTCGTGGAGCTAATTCGGGGCTTGCAGCTCCTCGGAGCCCTGTGGCTCGAATTTTGATGAGCTCCCCTCCAGGGAGAGGAGCTGCATTTCTGTGCGAGCGGGAGGGATCTGGGTGTTCTGGTGCTGACTAAACCCACCCACGCCTCGGGGCTTATTTGCAAGCAGATCCTGCGTGGTTTGTGTCAGCCCCGATGGAAGGGCCTGATATTCCCGGGAGCGTCCGGGTGGCTGTGGGGTCGGGGCTGGGTTAATATTTGGCACCTCTGGGTGCTGCAGAGGTGGGGAGGGCATTGCTGAGCCATCCCAGGGTTGGGAATTCAAGCCCTGGAGAGCTGATGCCACCCGGAGAGGGGGATGGAGCAGCGAGTTGAGACCTCCCTGGACCTCCTTTATCTCCAGATAAAGATCAGGAATGCGGCTCAGGGAAAGCTTTTTTGGTTTTGTTGGGGCAGAGCCCCCGGAGTGTGGGAGACGAGGATCAGCTCTTCCATCAGCTCCGTGCACAGGGAGATGGATGGAAAAAGGGAGCAGGGAGATCGCAGAATCGTGGAATTGTTTGGGTTGGAAAAATCAGCCAACCAGGCTCACCTGGAGCAGGTGACACAGGACCACGCCCAGGTGGCCGCTCCTGTCTGCCTTTCCCAGCCGTTTTTGATGGAAAGGCTTTGTTATCCCGATCCTTCCTCCCTCATCCTCGGCAGGGGAAGGGAAGCAGAGGCTGCTGCAGCAGCGCGGCCTCAAATCGAGTTTTTGCCTGGCAGGGAGAGCCCCGGGCTGTGGCTCAGCGGACCCACCCGGGCTGCTTTGGGAGGTGTTTGTTCCCCTAATGATAAAAGCCGATTTCCGCCCGTGCCTGACTCATTCCCTGTCCCTGAGCCTCATTCCTGCCTGGCCCTCGCTGTCCCCATCAGTCACGCAGGATAAGGACACAGCTCCGGGCGCTTCAGCTGCTCTGCGATTGTTTAATGGCTTCAAGTGCCCGGCAGCCTCAGGAACCCCGAGTTTGGGGCAATTTTGGAGGGTTGGGGTGCGATTATCGCTGTCAGAGTCCCTTTGTCCCCTGCGGTGGTGGCAGGGGCCGTGATCTTCTGCGGGCAGGATGGCACGGAAGAACAAAGGCTTGGATGCAATTTGGGCTTGGCTAAACATTAAGCTCTGGCCAGGTGGGAAGGAGCACCTGCGGCCCCGGAGCGGCATTCCAGAGGCTCGGGTCACAGGATGGGTGAGTCCCGTGCCCGGCCAGCAGGAGCCTCCGCCATGGCCGAGCTCCACCGGCTCTGCTCTGCCTGGAAAGAGTGTTCTAAAAATTGCCAGCCTTCCCCAGCTAAAGTAGGTGAAATATTTATAAACCCATCCTCTAGAGAAGACCTTTTGCGTAAGCATCAACCGCTCCGGCTTTAAAACCCGCGCCCTCCCCCCCGCCCCAAGGCAGCTTGTGCTGCTTATCCAGGGAAGGGGCAACTTTAATTGCGATTGTCTGGCACGGTGGCACCTTGTCACGGCCACGGGGGACGGCTGGCAGCCGGGAAAAAAAAAAAAAAAAAAAAAAAAAAAAAAAAAAAAAAAAAAGGAGGATTTCTGGATTTCCTGCCTCGGCTGCGCTCTGTTCCATCGGGTGTAGCCGCTGTGGTTGCTTTAATGCCGGGGGGGGGGGGGGGGGGGAGCTCGCCCCACTTTTGGGAGGATGATGCGACCCCCGTGGGGGGGAACTGAGAGGGAAGAAGATGAGGATGATGATGAGGATGAGGAGGGGAAGGAGGGGGGATACACAACGCCGCTTTCAGCACCCGAGGGATGCGCCGGGGTCCGGCGGGGCGGCTCCGGGGGCGGTGGGGATGGAGAGGGGGCCCCGCTCCGCCCGGCCCCGGAGGCGGAGCCAGCGCCCGGCGCGGCGGGATCGGGAGGCACATCCCGCAAAGGAGGAGCGGGGCCGGGCAGCACAGCGGGGCCGGGCAGCACAGCGGGGCCGGGCAGCACAGCCGGGGCGGCGGTGGCGGGGCCGGAGCTCGGAGCTCGCAGCTCCCGCAGCAGCGGGGCCGCCCCGCGCCGCCGCCACCACCGCGCACCATGTGGTGGGACGAGCGGGTGTCGGCTCGGTTCCGGAGGAACCTGCAGCCCACCCTCACCTACTGGAGCGTCTTCTTCAGCTTCGGCCTCTGCATCGCCTTCCTGGGGCCCACGCTGCTGGACCTGCGCTGCCAGACCCAGAGCTCGCTCTCGCAGATCACCTGGGTCTTCTTCTCGCAGCAGTTCTGCCTCCTGCTCGGCAGCTGCCTCGGAGGGGTCTTCAAGAGGACGTAAGAGCCCGGCGAACTCAGCGCTCCTCCCTCGGGGGGGGTTCAGCTGCCCTCGGACCCCCCCTCCCCTCCCCCGGCAGGCGGGATGCGGGGATGCTGCGTGGAAAAACCATTCCCGAAGTGGGAAAACCATTCCCGAGTGGGAGCGAGCGCGGGGGGCGTCGCGGAGGGTCCGCAGGGGAGGGGAGGGGGCTTCCCTCCCTCGGGCTCCGCTCCCGGGGCGGTTCCACCCCCTTGGAGAGCAGCAGCCGCTCCCTGGAGCTCCGCGCAGCCACAGCCTCAGCGTGAAGTTCCAGCCAGAACTTCCCGTGAGGGTTTTGGGGTTTGTTTTTTTTTTTTTGGTTTTTTTTTTTTCCTTAATCGTGGTTGTTTATCGCCAAAAAAAATATTTTTGGGAGCGTGTTTTAATAACCTCGGCGTCGGAAATGGTGGCAGCGCCGCGTTTTGCAGGAGTTTGGGCGAACACGTGGAGGGATGCGAGTGGTCCTCGTGGTCTGGATGAAGGGAGGGGGACACCGGGTCAGGGGCTCGGGGGATCAGCGGGGACCTTGAATCCCAAAACCAGGGATTCGCAGCGAGCCTCGTGTCCAGGATGTGTCGCAAATAAATAAATAACCCAGGGCTGGTTCAAGGCTGAAGATTGCCAGCGAGGCGTTTGATTTGGGGCTTGGTGACAGCTCCGAGGATCAGCTGATTATTTACGTTGTCACCGATTCTCGGGCGGTGATGTAACGTGTCAGCCCCGTGTGTGTGTGAGAGATCCACGCACCGCCAGTGGGGCTGAGCTGGAGACGGCAGAATTCCCCAGGAATCATTTAAAAAAAACAAAAAAAACCCTCCTTTAAATCTGCTTGGTGTTGAACATTTGTGGATTGAGGGGAGCCCTGGCTGGTGGAGAAGGTGTTGGAGCACCTGGGAATGGCCACCGTGGGACACGGAGCCGTCCCGGGGGCTGTGCCCGGGCATTGGGGACAATTGGGGCGCAGGGGGTTGGGGACAGCACGTGGGGACCTCGCTGCGGCTCCGCCACCGCTCCGGCAGTGCTGGGTCAGCAGCAGAGGCTCTGCCAGCCCCCGGGGCTGCCTCGCATATGTTTGGAGGAGCAGGGAAGGGAAATGCAGAATTCCTGCTGCCAGCTCCTTCCCAAAGCTCCGGGTACGCCAAACCCATCGGGGCTTTTGTGCTTGGAGAATCCCAAACTTTTAACTCTGCAGCTGCGCTTTTTTTTTTTTTTTTTGGGGGGGGGGGGAAGAGTGTGTTCGGTGCCGGTTGTGAAGCAGGATGTGTTTGGGATTTTGGAGGAAAAAGGGATTTGTGAGCCCCACTGGGGACTGACAGCCCTGCCAGGCAGGCAGGAGGGAATATTTGGGATATTTGGAGCTTGTGAGTGTTGTTGGGGGGGGGGTTACTCAGAGCCTCGCAGCCTCCAAATGTGCGGGAATAAGAATTGTTCAGGCTCCAGGCGCTCCGGTACAATCCCTTCTTCAGGGATGGATGGATTGAGCTGTCCTGCCAGCGCTTTATAAATCAAATTACGCCGCCCTCGGGGCCTCGGTGCCAGGCAGGGAGGAGCGCTGGCCAGGTCATCTTTTCCAGTTAGGAGATGGAAATCTGCTGTGGAGCATCCCTGGAGTGTGGCTGCGAGCTGAGTGTGATTCCTGGTGCCTGAGGGATGCGGACTTTGCTGCTTCCTCTGGAATAAATCGCCCTGGGTGACTCGTGAGGGACAGGAATGGGTGGTGGCACCTAAATCCAGGTTCTCCTGTCCCCAGAGGAGCTGCTGGGTGCTGCTCGCTGCTCCTGGAGCACTGGGAGGAGGGATTTTAGTGCTGCTCTGTCCCTTCGGCGTGACCCAGCTCCAGAATTCCCTCTCGTGTGAGATTCCCAGGAAATACCAAGTTTGTCACTGCCAGGCTCCCCTGGGATGGAGGAACGATGCTGCTGCTCTGTCCTGGAGTCCTGGGATTGTTGCTGCTCCTTTCCCGGAGCTTTTGGGGCTGCAGAGGCAGGAGCAGCCCCCCAGGAAATGTGGTTTGGGCTCTCAGGTTCACCTCAGGCCGCTCCTCCTGACACCTCCCTGGGCTTTGCTGGGATTTGGGATGAGCTGTGCCCCGGGAAATTCAGCTTTTTCCCAGGGGGTTGCACCCCTGGGGTTGGGCTTTGAGCCCTCCTGAGTCCCTGGGGCTGCTGGGGGAGCTCCAGGAGCACAGAGAGCCCTGGCAGGGCCCTGAGGATTCCTCTTGCCTGGAATGACCTGGAAAAGGTTCCCAGGAGCTCCCTGCAGGAGCAGCCCCAGCGATGGGATGGGAGAGCTGGGAGGAGCAGCCTGGGCTCGGACACAGCAGGGGGAGGTGAAATTTTGGGGAAATTCCCACTCCTGGCACTGGCAGCTCCAGGGGGGAGCTCTGTGCACCTGCATTTCGCTTCCCTTTCCCATTTTGTTGCATTTTGGGCTTGAATTGTGAGGTTCAAGTCCCGGTGACAGAAGCGCCAGAGCATCCCAGATGGGTGTTGGGATTTTTTTTTATTCAGAAACGGCATTTTTGTGTCTGGTTGAAAATTTGTTTTCCTCCCAGGGTTTGGGGCAGCCCTGGGCTGCTCGCAGTGGTGTGGGCAGAGGTGAGGAGGGCACTGGGGAAACTGGAGCTGTGCTGGATGCTCCTCTCAGCGTGATCCACCCCATCCCTGCAGGGCTGCGAGGTGTTTTATTCTCCTTTTATTCTCCATTCACAGCACTGTGAGTGCCACCAGCTCCCAGGGACAGCCCTGTGCTGTCCCTGTCCCCACATTCCCGTCCCCTGGAGGGCTCTGGAGCTCTCAGGACACTTCACTTGTCGCTGCCACCTTTGGTTGCTCAGAGAGCAGCACAGGACGAGCTCCTCGGGGACACAGAACTCCCCGAGCCTGGCCCTGCTTCCTGCAGGAGACACCCGCAGGCTGCTGTGGGATAATCCTTGGGATAATCCTCACCTCATCCCCTGGGGCCTTCGGGTTGTTAATGATCAGTTTTGCAAGTCTGAGTTGGCCTGATTATCATTTTTCTTCTTGATGTGAGGGATTTGGAAAACGTGCCCTGAGGTGGGGGAAAAAAAACAACAAAAATACTGTGCTGGGAGCTGAAGAGATCCTGCTGCAATGGGAACACCGAGATGGGGGTTCCTAAATCCGGGAACACCGAGGTGGGGGTTCCTAAATCCGGGAGCACCGAGGTGGGGGTTCCTAAATCCGGGAGCACCGAGGTGGGGGTTCCTAAATCCGGGAGCACCGAGGTGGGGGTTCCTAAATCCAGGAGCACCCAGGTGGGGGTTCCTAAATCCCTGTGGCAGGGAAAGGGGAAGCTCTGCTGGCTGGGGCTGCAGGATTGCCCCTGGAATTTCTCATCCTGATCCTGTGGAGATCAGCACAATCCTCTCATGGAGCCAGGACATGCCCTGGGTGCTCCTGAAAGGAAATTTGGGGCATTGCAAGACTCGTTTCACACCCTGCTGGAGCAGAGCCTGCCCTGGGCTGTGCCAGAGCTGTGCTGGGGACACAGAGACCGGGCTGTGACATCAGGGCTGTGACATCAGGGCTGTGACATCAGGGCTGCTTTTCCAGCCCTTTGGAGAGGGGGGTTGGCATCACCAGGACACCCTGAACTCACGGGGTGCCTCATTTCAGGTGCTGCCCGAGGGTTTTGAGTCTCAGGAAATCATTCAGTGCCTCCCTGGGTGCTGAGCTCAGTCCCCCAGCCCCACCTTGGCACTGGCAGCAGCAATTCCTTGGCCCCTCTCATGCCAGGGCCAGCAGGGCTGGGTGCCACCCTGGGCTGGTGGCATTTCCAGGGGGTACAATTTGTGTTTAACCCATGGCTGGAGGCAGGAATTTCCAACCAGGGGTGACATTTTTTAATGCTCATTAAGGCTGTAACATCCCTCCCCAATCAGTTTTTTTTGGCTCTGGTGCTGAGCCTGCCCCCCAGGCAGGCAGGGGTTTCTGCAGGGGAGGCGTTTTGGGAATGCTCTGCGAGGTTTTCCCATCGCTCCCAGCCTCGGATTCAGCAGCTGCTGCTGCCTGTGCCTCTCTCCCCGCTGCTCTGCACCCCAGAGGGAGCAGCCTCGGCTCTCCAGGCTCGGAGCTGCTCCTCTCTCATTTGCCAGGAGCTTTTCCTGCCGTGACTGTGCACATCTCGCCCGGCTCTCCCCCCCCTCCCTCCTTCCCTCCCCCAGAAATCCCACGGCTCTGCTGTCAGAGGAGCATCAGTGGCCACAGCTCTGCAAAATATTCCCTGCTCCTGCCCTGCCCTGCCCTGCCCTGGGCTGGGCACTGGGAGGCTCTGGCACGGCCGGGAGAGCTGAGAGCTGTGGGAGAGGTGCAGGGGATGTGCAGTGAGGTGCAGGGGATGTGCAGAGGTGCAGGAAATGTTCAGAGGTGCAGGGGATGTGCAGAGAGGTGCAGGAGATGTTCAGAGGTGCAGGAGATGTTCAGAGGTGCAGGAAATGTTCAGAGGTGCAGGGGATGTGCAGTGAGGTGCAGGAAATGTTCAGAGGTGCAGGGGATGTGCACCCCAGAGAAAGGCCAGGCCGTTATTGCACCTCAAATGTGGGTTTGGAGGGGTGGCTGCTCTTCTCCTCAGGAGCTGGGTGGAAAATTTGTCTCTTGGAGGCATCGCCCTGCAGGCAGGAGGTGGCAGTGCCCCAGGCTGTGCTGTGGAGCATCTCCCTCCTCTCAGCAGAAAAATTGGAGCTGCGGGGTCAGAGCTGCAATTCCAGGGCTGGGAACAGGAGGTGGGGACCTGCTCTGGTGGTGGCACTGATCCTGTCCCTCCTTTGCCCTCCCCAGGCTGGCCCAGTCCCTGCTGGCCCTGTTTGCCTCGTCCCTGGCCATCTCCCTGGTGTTTGCCATCATCCCCCTGTGCCACAACGTGGTGGTGCTGGCCGTGGTCATGGCCGTGGCCGGGCTGGCCATGGGCTGCATTGACACCATCTCCAACATGCAGCTGGTCAAGATCTACCAGAAGGACTCTGCCATCTTCCTGCAGGTGAGAACGGGGACCTCACCCTCTCCAGGCAGGTTTAGGATGGGTTTTAGGAGGAATTCTTTCCCAAAAAGGGCTGGTTGGGCATTGGGAGGGTGGCATCAGCAATCCAGGAGGCGTTTGAGGAAAGCCTGACCATGGCACCGTGGGGCTCTCACCCTCCCCCCACGCAGGTTTAGGATGGGTTTTAGGAGGAATTCCTTCCCAGAAAGGCTGGTTGGGCGTTGGGATGGTGACATCACCATTCCTGGAGGTGTTTAGGATGGGTTTTAGGAGGAATTCCTTCCCAGAAAGGCTGGTTGGGCATTGGGATGGTGACATCACCATTCCTGGAGGAAAGCCTGACCATGGCACCGTGGGGCTCTCACCCTCCCCCCAGGCAGGTTTAGGATGGGTTTTAGGAGGAATTCCTTCCCAGATAGGGTGGTTGGGCACGGGGAGAGTGGCATCATCATCCCTGGAGGTGATTGAGGAAAGTCTGATTGTGGCACTCTGGTACCTTCACCCCTCCAGGCAGGTTTAGGATGGGTTTTAGGAGGAATTCTTTCCCAGAAAGGATGGTTGGGTATTGGGATGGTGACATCGCCATCCCTGCAGGTGTTTGGGAAGGATTTTAGGAGGAATTCCTTCCTAGAACAGGTGGTTGGGCACTGTGAGAGTGACATCACCATCCCTGCAGGTGTTTGTGGGAAGTGGCACTCAGCTCTGGTGACAAAGCAGTGTCAGGTCCCAGGCTGGACTCGATAACCCCAAAAATCCTTTTCCAACCTAATTAATTCTACGATCGCGAGGAGCAGGAATTGAGGGGCTCTGCCTCCCTCCTCCTCCTCCACCCCGTCACCTCTTGCAGGCCCTGCACTTCTTCGTGGGTTTTGGGGCTCTGCTGAGCCCCCTGATCGCCGACCCCTTCCTGTCAGACACCAACTGCATCCTGGCCAACGGCACGGCCAACGCCTCCAGCAACCTCCCGCACATCCGCAAGTCCCTGGTGCCGCACCACCCCGGCAACCTGTCCCACTACGACCTGCCCATGAAGGGCATGGTGGTGACACGGGTGTCCTACGCCTTCTGGATCATGGCCCTCATCAATGTGAGTGCTGGCAGCATCCCTGCTCTGGGGTTCGGGGGGGTTCGGGGGGTTCTGGTGGAGGGAGGAGAGCGGGGATGGTTGTGCTGGCGCACAGCAGAGATGAAAGGTTCGTTTGTTGCCGAATCTGGTTTTTATCAGTGCTGGGATGCACTCTGGGATTTGTCTGAGCCGTTGGTACCTCCAGCACCTCCCAGGCAGGAGCTGGAGCAGCAAACTCTTCTCAGATCCAGCTTTTCCTGCATGCTCGGCTGGGGAGGGGCTGGGATGGCCCCGCAGGAGGGGATTTGCAGGATATTCCCAGGAAAGTGCCCATCAGTGAACTGCGTGATGGGACAGGAGTGTTCACGTCCTCTCTTCTGTTTATTATTTTCCCTGGAGGTCACAGCAG